ATTTTAAGAAATTTTTCATGCAAAATTGATTGTTTCAACAATATCAGCAACTTCCGATACTATTGATGCGACATGCCATTTACTGATAGCTTACTTCGGGTAAGTCACTGCAAATAACTGTGTTGCCTTGATCTGCAAGGAGCTTAGGGATAAGTCTATCAGATGGCATGTGTTGAAGGAACTTAAAAATTAAATGATACGGTAATTTAGTTTGCGAAATTACTATACGATAGATTCTGTTAGAACTTTTTGTCAATTTATTTTTAATCGTTTCATCCCATCAAATTCTGAAGCAATAGGAGAGGTAATGAATCTGGTATGTAAATTGATATAAGCGATGTTTCCATACATGACATTTTTGAGTTGATACACTTTAATAAGATTTTAAAAAAAATCACTGAATTCGAACTGATAAGTAGTATGTTGAATGGATTTGTGATAGAATTACATTTTAAATGGCATACCTGACACATTTTCAATGAACCATAGTTCTTTTTTACTCGATACTTCATTAATTAATAGTTGTTTTGTTATCCGTAAGAAACATGAACAGGAACACTTTGTGTAAAGTGATAGGGAAGGAAGAGAATAATATTTCCCGGAACATTAACATAAGAATTCTCTTATTTCAGAAAAGATAAGATGACACTATTACGTTGTTCAGCAATGATCATCCGCCGGAAATTTCAAAATGAAAAGTCTCAAAAGACAACTTGATTCATCTTCTTTTCCAATCTAATTAATATGTGAATGGTTTCTTTCTTTTAACTCCAACGATAGATACAATGGCACAAAGTACTGTCATAATTAGTAACATAGAGAGAAGTCGGGTCGGGTAAAACCTGCGGGTACTTGCAATTCACTCTAACTTGATTTGGAAACACAAGTTCCATTCAGCTACCTCCACAAAAACCAAACGGGGAAATCTCAGAAACCACCATCCGATAATAAACATACGACCGGCAACTAATCCATTCCCACTTTTCTGCAACCCGCTGCGCCGATTTCCTTCCATCTTATCCACCTATCCTATTTCTTTCTATTTTATCCACCTATCCTACTCCTCTTTTTGCAGTCACACATACAAACACACATGCACACACATCACATGCACACACACACACACACACGCACATCACATGCACACACACACACACACACGCACATCACATGCACACACACACACAAACACATGCACAGGCGTACAGGCATACATAAATGTAGCGGATGTGTACAGTAGGAGGTCGTTTCGTATTCTTGCGCAGTAAATTCCAAACTTTCTCTTTCTCGTTGTTGGCATCTGCTAAGAATGGGCTTGTTTGCTTGAACTAATTGTGAATTTTTTTTTGAAATTTCAAATCAAATTTACATTGAGCAGTAGGGGCATTACATTAAGTTTAACCGCTCTCAGCGATCCTTTACAGTTAGTTAATTAATTGCAACCAATTATTATAATAACTATTAACTTACCTAATTATTACTTGTAAGGACTATTAACTACGACGATTGTTAGAAGGAATCACTTCAATGATTTCCAAAAGATTCCGAAGGAAATAGTCGATCGCGCTTCAAACATAATTATCAATTCCATTCGATTGCGAAATATTTCTTAGATTAATTGTTTAGCAATGAATTTCGGTAACTGTTACGACTTTTCTGCAAATCATTTCCTTCTCTGTAATAGTTTTTATAAGCATGGCATTTTTCACATTCTCCATACTCCATAATGACTGCTTTTTCATTCAACACATATATCAGGAGCTGAGAACATTTGATTTGACGTTTTTGAACAATTAAATGTTCTATAAATATTAACCTCTAAACATTTCGGATTTGACACATCCACTAATTATGATATTAATTTGATAGCTCAAACTAGTCCGATTTATTCAACTTCTTTTTCTCTTCCAACATCTGCGACTTTTCTCTGTGTTTATGTCGTAGAGAAATTCTTAGATTGAATCGGTTCTTACGTTAGTGGTCTATCCAGTTCCAGTTAAATATCTTTTTCCGCTACGACATCTCAAGAAAGTATGGCGGGTTTGGTTGTAAGTCTAAATTGATTTGAGTTGAAATTTAGGGCTATCCTCCTCTTTCTTATCTTTTTTCTTTTTTTTGTCAAATTGTCATCAGTCATTTATGACTGTATCAGTATCAGTTACGTCCCCTTGTTTTTGTTCTCCTCTGAAAGGGATTACCGTCTATAACTGATAGGGAAAAGAGAAAATAAATAAGTGCGCTTCGATTTTAATTTGATTTCCTCATTATTTAAGGTGTCCCAAATTCAGCCATTTGTTGGCATTATTTTCGCTAAAAACCGTAATAAATGTAGTTTATTTTGAGAAGTCTTGAAAAGCCTCTATTTGTCACCAATGTTCATTTAATACTGCCGGTAGATGTGACTTGACTTAGATGTGATTATTTAGCCAGTAACAGTTCTTCATATTTGTAACTTATGAAAAGTTTACAACTGTAATGGAATTAAGTTTTGATCATACCAATCATCAACGCTGAGTGGTTTTCTGATTTTATAAACTTTGAGAACTGATTAAATTAAAGGAATTTATTACTTGAGGAGCAATTTCGCAGTACGGTATTCAAAAGTTTTGCTGGAATTGGCTAAGTGTATTGAAATAAACTATGTTGAAAATATAAAAGACATCGTGTATCAAGCTGAGTTTGGAGGGAAAATAATTTTGAATAGACCTTGTTATTTGAATTCTCAACAATGCTTGCTAATATCTCAGGTGCTGGGACTGAAGGCGTTAAAATCGGTTGCAGATATTTAGGAGGCTGCAAATACTGTTTCAAAACTGATTGTTTGACTGTGCCAATTTCTAATAACCTTGATGTTAAATTATTCTAATTTGATACACGAAGACCATTCGAATTTATTAAAAGAAATTTAAATTAAATCAAATAATAAAAAAATATAGCAAATATTATTGCTAACAATGTCACGAATCGTACAGTCAATACTTCTGCGAACAGTTGTCTGGAAATTAAATTTCTCTTTAGCTTGAATTGAAACTCTTTGTGATGTGTGGATTAAGACTTTACTAATAAAATAGCAATTAGAAGTGAGTGAATGCTTTTAACTTCTGATATATGAATTATCTTCAAATGATGATGAACAATTTAGAAGAACGGAAGTACTACTATTACTTCAACTGTTCATTGATCGTTATGTGTTGCCCAATAAATTTCTTTTAGAATGAAAATCATTATCAATATCATTTGCATTTCTGAATGGTCAGATATCAGTGATAGAAACTTCATAAATCAATTTAGAAGTCGACAATTTCGCATTTTTACATGAATAAGCCTAAACAAATCTTATTACTTTTATTGGAAACTCTAATAAAAAGACTAACTAGGCTGCTGGATAAGCTGTCCTTTTTGTTTTTCGATGTTTTATACAGTACTCTTCGTCCCCCAGCCTTTCCAGATTAAATCGTTACTTTTGTTTTTCTTGAACAGAATGAAAAAAAGATTTGATATATTTAAAGTACTTTTTTAATTGGATCCAAAGTAGCTATGGCTAAATGAAATTTTGTTTACTAAGAAAGTAAATCATTTGAAAAAACAAATTGAAGAGAGCGTAGAGATAACTTAAAATCAAAATAATGATTGAGCAGAGTTAGAAAACAGCAATCCAAAATTTCAATTTCAAATACAATGAAGGGAAAGCTTATCGATTTTTATTGCTCTTATCAGTATTGATTAAATGATTTAAGATATGTAAGTTGTTATCCGCATCTTTCCCAAAATTTGAAAAGAAATTAGACCATAACAGTCAGAAATTTCCTGTTTCCTTTTAATGAATAAAGGCGATAAAATTTAAATTGATGGAATTGAGGAAACATCATTAAAAATTGTGACAATTGTCTGGTTGTTAGATAATTCGTTTATTATAAAAGGATGAAGAAAAAGAACGATCGAGGATCATTACAGTTTCTTGTTGATAAATTTGAATGAAATGAGGCTGTTTCTATTTTGGCAAATTTATTCCATCAGTGTCTATATTGAAATTCCATTTCTTCGTTTATTTTTATTTGAAAATCAGTTTTAATTATCAAGATTTATTTTGTTATTCTAGTTCTTATCACTATCATTATAATCGTACCAACATTTCCAGTCATATGTAATGTCATGTGTTTGTCATCATATAAATTTTCATTATTTTGATCGATTTTTATTTGATTCTTCATTTGGCGTTTCTGACTGTAAACTTTATTGTGATTTTCACATGCGTTTTGATTTGTTTCAGGATATTTTGAATTAAAACTATTTTGCTAGACCTGAATTGGGATGATTTGGTCTAAATTATGAAACGGTTCATTTCTTATCTTCTACCACACCGTTTCTATTTAGTAACAATAGCAGCAATTATGTCATTAACAATATTATCAACTCAGTAATTCGTTCATTTTTGGCCCTAATGTTTATTCATCGCCTGCTGCTTACTTTTAACCGGCGCAAACTGCGCAGACTGGTTTTCGTATTTTTGTTTGTCTTAGCTTTCCTAATATGTTGGTGCCTGCTAACGATTACCATCCTAATAGCACAAAACAAGGTTAGATATTTTGAACTTGGATTTAAAATGAATTATTCGATTTATTCGGCACGAAATTTAAAAGTTTTGAAAAAGGCAAATCGAAGCAGAAATTTTTTAACTTTGTTTATTTCTATTGATCCCATCCGGCTATTAGTGGATTTCATGTTCAGGGCTAATGATCTATCGTATCCGACGTAGTTTACGCTACACATAGATGACGTACCGTGCAAGTTTGGGTTTTACATTTGGTATTAATTTTGGAAAGTTTAAACTTATTTAATCTCAGTACTAATATTTCGCATAAAACATATCTTTTTTTCAACATATTAATTGAGCTGCGATTTTTCTCCAACAAAAAAAAATTTAATTCCACTAAATTTCAAAAAACCTGCTTGAAAATGCTTGTCCTATAAATATGATTACAATCTAATTATTAGTTGTAAGAGTTGAGATAACCGTAAAAGATGAAAGAAATGCGGAACTTTTCCAATATTATTTTTGAAACATGAAAATTGAAAGGTAAAAGGGTGTTTAGGAGTAACAGATATGAATATGTATTTAATTCTTGAATTAGGATAAATTTGACGAAACTTTCCACTGTAATTTAGACCAGTAAAATCACCCCGTGGCCCTAAGTCTCTGTTCACATCGCCTTCTTATATTAAAATTTGAAGCAAAATTTGTACCCGAAAATTTCAGTTTTCATAATTAGAACCAACACTTTTTATTAATTTACGATGAGAAATAGTTGTGCTACGAAAATTTCTATGCGTGTTAGAGAATGTCCGAATAGATGAATGAAATTTGTTAATTTTAAAAAGTATATTTAAAAAAAAAAGTCACTTTTTTTATGCTACAGGTGAGAATGGACACTTCTTCCTCAAATAATCAATGGTAATATAGAATTTTCGAGAGCAAATGAGTGAATATTCATGAATTAGCATAAACTAATTTGTTTACTTGCATGTGCCAATTGCTTTAGATTACTGATTATGTGGAAGCGGTATCCACGGATACGAATTCATATTTGGGTCGAGGAATACAAATAGTTGTTGGTCACTACAATGGAAATCTTGCCAGAGACAAACTTTCCAATTTAACTGCTGGCAAGTTTCTATTAAATTTCGGTGATATTTTCTGCAGTATATTCGTACACTAATCTTTGGCCTAATCTTCTGAAGAATTATTGTATTTCGGAGAAACCTGAAAGGCCTGTTATAATAGCGAATATAGTGTATATCTCAATGTCGATCTTTTGGCTAAATTTCAAATATTTAATTTTCAAACGTTTCAGAAATCAAATTAAAATAAAGAATCGATTATTAATTTTTCAGAACAACTGAATGCAAATAATTATGCACCAATTACTGGTGCTGGAGAAGATGGACGACCGGTTAAGCTAAGTGAAGCGGATGAGCGCCTTTCTGATGACACTTTTGCCATTAATCAGGTAATTTAGGTCTTTTAAAATCACTGTTATGAATAAAAATCATAGTCAGTACAAACATAATCTTCGTGTTTAAAGCATTAAGGTTGCGCAACATTCACTAGAAAATTGTGCTAATTATCGGGATATTAATAGAATAATCTAGTTTATGCTTATCAATTTTGCTCAAATTTCAGTTCAACTTGGTAGTGAGTGATCGAATAGCTCTAAATCGATCCTTGCCAGACATTCGTAAGCATCAGTGCCGGGCCAAAACCTATTTACGTATGTGTCTCATCATTCATTATTATTTTGTTATCAAAAAGACTAAATTATATTAATTACAGCTTCTTCGGAATTACCTACCACCAGTGTTATCATCGTTTATCACAATGAAGCCTTCTCGACATTAATGCGTACCGTGATGTCTGTTATTCTAAGGTCACCACATGAAAATTTGAAGGAAATTATTTTGGTGGATGATTTCAGCACAAGAAGTAATTTTTAACTTATGCGAAATTTGAGATGGGATTTTTCTAAGATTATCGGTACTGAATTTATTCTGTTTGTAGCATTTTTGAAAGCTGAATTGGACAACTTTGTTGCTCAATTGGGTACGCATATCAAAGTGATCCGGGCGAACGAACGCGTCGGTTTGATACGAGCCCGTTTGATTGGCGCTACGGAAGCAAAAGGAGATGTGTTGACTTTCCTGGATTCTCACTGCGAATGTACCAAAGGATGGATGGAACCACTATTGGCACGGATTAAAGAAAACAGGTAACTATTAAAATAGTGGTTGTTTTGGTTTTCCTACCAAGAAAGAAAGAATCAAAACAGATAACAGCATGCTCGAAAGGTCTATTTCAATTGTCTAAAAACTTTCGGTGATACTTTATAGAAAAGCAGTAGTTTGTCCTGTGATTGATGTTATCAACGAGCGAACATTCGCATATCAAAAGGGTATCGAGCTATTTCGCGGTGGTTTCAATTGGAATCTTCAATTCCGGTGGTATGCTCTACCACCGGAAATGATAAAATCACGGAGTAATGATCCTACAAAACCGATCATGTTGGTCTCCTTATTTTGAGGCTGGTCATGGTTATGATCTAATTTAGAATCTGATTAATTCTTCTGGTCATAGTTATGGCACAATTTAGAATCTGCTTGATTCTTCTTTTGCTCAGTCATTGAACCAGTGTGTTACTTTGATTCGCGAATGAAATTGCCTTGTTTAAAATTTATTTGAATTATATGATTCTACAAAGAATGCGAGCAATTAAGTTACAGTTCTCCAACAATGGCTGGTGGATTGTTTAGCATCGATCGGAAATATTTCGAAGAAATTGGTACTTATGATCACGAAATGAACATATGGGGTGGCGAGAATATTGAGATATCTCTAAGAGTGTGTTTTAAAGTCTTATTTCGGGTAGTATAACATTGATGAGCAACTGGATCACCCTTTAGCATATATGGCGTAAATTTAAACTCAGCCTTCCGACCGACCTGAACCAACCAGCATATACTTGCACTTATTTATGAAAGACGACACTTCACACATGTTCGTTGTAATTATCAAAAAAAAAAAAAAAAATCATTTCTAGGTTTGGCAATGTGGCGGACGAATCGAGATTCTCCCATGTTCCCATGTGGGTCATGTCTTTCGTCGGGCTTCTCCTCATGATTTTCCAAGTCACAAATCAGGAACCATTCTGAACAGTAATTTGTTGCGAGTGGCGGAAGTTTGGATGGATGAATGGAAGTTTCACTTCTACAGAACTGCACCTCGTAAGTTTAGTTGTGTCATTGCGAGATTTTAAAAATAATTTACGAAGAGTTTTATATGACGACGACTGCTAATATCTTCTATATTAGTGAAACATCTGGCCCGCTCGTTTCTGAAATTTCATGCAAATAAAGTGTTTCTATTTTTGAGTGAAATGTTCACTGAAGGAAGAAGTCACATTTCAGAAGTTTATAAAATGCGTGAAACAGTTGACGTAAGTGACCGTGTGGAACTTCGAAAACGTTTGCACTGTAAAAGTTTCAAGTGGTTTCTGGATAATGTGTGGAAAGATCATTTTTTGCCGCAACCGGGAAGTGCTTTTGGAAGGGTTTGTTTCTGTTGCGGATTCTTCCTTTCGATAATCTCTTCTTGTTATTCGCACTAATCATGGGAACCTCACTACAGCCTTCAGATGAAAACAAAATAGATTGATGGAGAGCAAGGGTATTCAAAACATGCTTAATTAATGAAGTGTAATTAAATTAAAAAGAAGCCACCAGTGTTACCAGGCTCAATTAATAGTCTTCTTAAGCAATAGAACTTTTATTTCTCCCCAACTTTTATTTTTCTCCACTCTCAGACCTTTTAAAATTCAGATAAATGTTTAGATAAAAGAAGCAGCTTTGACTAGACGTACTCGTCTCATTAGCAGTGAGTACCTTTACTTTAGGTAATTCATTCAAGATCGCAGATTGGTGGTCTAAATGGGTGCCTACACTGGACAGTACCATTGGGTGAGAGTATGAGAGTAGCGACGATGCATAATTGTTCTGCACCTGAAAGTTTCGATCGTACTGAGGTATGCAAATTTTTCTTCCATTTTCAGATTTCGCACAGCACTTCAGGGAATTGTTTGGTAGCTCGAACTGGTGAACCTGGTTCTAAGCAAACTGCTATTATGATGGCTCGTTGTACATTGGGGTTTGATATGTGGCAGGTGATCCTTTTAACAGTCAGATGATAAATAAACACAGTTCCTTTTGTGTGTGCAAACAGATAAATTAATTTCTGATTTAATATCACAAATTTTCAGCTTTGGCTGTTTACCAAGGAAGGGCAAATGAAAACGGACGAGCATCTGTGCCTTAGTGCATATCAACCAGTACAGGGTCCACGAAACTGGAAAGTGCAATTGAAGGAATGTGGCCAGTATGAATCAGAATACTGGGACTATAATTTTCACGTCAGTTCCATGAGTGTAGTTGTTTATTTAAGCATTTTATCAATTACAAATCCCTTAATTTCCGAGATTTTTCGCTGATAAGTCAAATTATCATGTCTGGGTTTTACAAAAGGTATCAACTTCCCCATTTAGATGGACCGAATTCTTGCACGACAATAGCTTAGGTTTTCAAGTAATCAATTGAAAAGGCATGAATATCTGTACAGGAAAGAAAAGCCAATCTAGAAAAGAGCTCTTCATAGAGAAGAACATTTTGGTACTGACGTAGCTTAGTTTTTTAATTAATGAGCATTTTTGCTCTAACTACTTTTAATCCACCAAATTACTTCCGGAAGGTATTCTTGTTATTTTCTTTAAATTTTTAGAGGAAATCATTCTACCACCGCAAAAGCGGATTATGTCTAGATCAGCCATTCGAAGATCCTAATGATTATCATGCGTTACATATTTTGAAACCCACATTAAATAGATGTACACGTGGTGGATTGAATCAGGTGAATTTATTCCATTTCGAAAATTTTCGAAACCGTTCAAAAATATTAGTATTACATTAAGTGAGGGAGCCTTATTGTAAGTATTTCAATAAAAACCCAATTAGAAAAATTAAAAAAACTCAATTAGGAAGTAAAATAAAAATCAATAAAATCAGAATTAGAGAGAAAAAATTGGAAAACCCAATTAGAAAGTAAATTTTATGAATGATCTTTACTAAGCAGATCGAAAAGGAGTTAAAAAGCCATTGGAACTCAGGATCTAACTGAGAAAGAAAATCCTTTATATTTAGAAAACGCCAATAAAAAACCAATAATCTTCGAAAAATTCCTCATTTTTATCAAAAACCAAAACGTTGGAACTATTAGTCAGACTTTCTTAATCGCAAACTTTGTTGGTTAAGTAAATGAGAGATAAATTGATAAGATGAAAACTTAAAAAGTCTAGCTAATGTGTTTATTTTTGAAATCCAATTCGGAAGCTGGAGTAAATAGGCTATAAGAAGAAAAATAAGAATTGAAAAGGAAAAACTAATCGGGAAAAACTAACTCGATGTAGATTTATCAATCTATGAAGACGATCGCGACAGTAAGCTTTTTCTAAGAGAAACCAAGAGAGATCAAGTGACCTCCGAGATAATGGGGATTCAAAATAGAGATTTGCAGCAGCCCGCATAATGGGCGACACCAACCACCAATGTCACTCTCTGGAATGTGCTTCCTCTGACTAATCTTTATACCTGGATGTAACTTCATTGAAACTTTTACAGCAATGGACGTTAAATGAAGTGCAGTGGTTGTCAGATAATGTCATTTCTTCGTTGCACTGATCGCTTATAGTCCAACAATAAGCACCTTTAACTTTTTATATTAAAGATCACATTCTCTGCGAAGCAGTTTTGCATATTTCTTTCATGGATTCATTCCATTTCGATTTTAAGATTTACTTCAAGTTATTTTAGACTAGTCTTCAAAAAACACCAAATTCAATTAATTACAAGGTTCTTTGTCAACTATTATTTTCTTACTAGCTCAGATAATTAGCGCCTTCTTTGTTTTACATTCAGTAAAGATTATTTTGATGTTGCAATACGTTTCCAATATGTAATTGCAAATGTTTTGATATATTGTGGCTATCAGTTTTCTACTGCCACCAGACGCCTTATTTTCTCTGCTTTTCATAACGGTCAAGTTTTCGTTGATTCATTATCCTTACTGCTGACTTAATTACTGCTTACAAACTAATTTGTGCATTGTAAAATTTGATTTGCAATTTAATCGTTGTCCTCTCCGAAATGATGACACACAATACATCGCAACAGAATTTTTATTTCTCTTTGTTATTTGCCTTTTCTTCGTGCTACAGAAAATTCTGCATTTGGTGGATTACGATATGCTTTACTATGAATTTGCCATTACTTCGAACAGCTTTCCTCTGAGTTATATTTTAGGGTGCAAGTTTTTTCTTTTTTTTGTCTCACTATTCAGCATTCGCAAGTGACTAGGAGGGTTGAGTCTCTGTAAGATTGCTTGCGAACTCAAATTTTTGTTTGCGTAAGTTAACTACGAATAAATATTGCCTCTGCTTTAGTCATAAACTTTCTTTGTTAATAAGACAAGAAGCAGCAAAACACTGGCTATATGATTGAGGCTATGGTTATGGCCAGCAAATTCATAGGCCTGAAAGTCGAGTAAATGGAGCAAAGCTGCCATATTATCTTTTGCTTATGATGACTTTTTTCTCCTTCCACGATAATTACAAGTATTACCATGCTACCCATAATAATCATGAAAATGTGAAGTTTTGATTTGAAATGATCAAGTTATTCTGCAACTTCCACCTCTTCCAACATTTATTACATTGCGTAATGCAAAAAATGAAGGCAGCTGTGTAAGGGAGCTAATAGTGAATAATGTCGCTTCAAAAAGAATTTTTTTCCCTGGCAGCAGAAGAAATGATAAAATTGGTTATGGTTCATTGGATGGCAAAGTGGTTACCCTTTGTGGTTGAGGCGGAAATTGAAGCTCTTTGTGTTTAAGGTATATTTACTTCTGCATTATTGTTTTGCATCTTGAAATCTCCAGGTTTTTTTCCGATCATTCCAGAACAATTGAAGTGAGTCAAATTGTGATAGATGATGACGTAGTATTAAAGAGATGAAGTTAAAGATTACAGATTAGCAACAAATGACAGATACATACATGTTAGGACCGTCACGTGACTTCTGCACCACAAATTTACAATCGTCAAAATGTCTTGAATGTTCTGAAAATTTCAGTGCTTTCGTACAAGCACCGTACATTCTTTCATGTTGCCATACGTTGTGCATAATTTACTTAATACAGGTAATTTTTTTTGACATTACGGTGACAACTTTCATACTAATCCTAATTAGTTTGCAGGACGTAATTGAAAATAATCATGTGGTCAGTGAAGTTATCTGGAAACAATTAATTGTTTACAAACATTACTGTTATAGTCTCTGTTGAAGAGTAGGAGTGATAATAGCCAAATTTGACAGTAATTTTGGAAAATTCTTATTTTAGAATCCAAAGAAGAATTATAAACTGTAATCGATGAAAAAATATCTTTCTCTATATATCTTTTCTCAAAAAATATCTTTTCTCCATCAAATATCTTTCTCTCTCTAATTTTGGAATATATCCACGTCATTTTTCAAAAAGTAAAGCCATCCTATTGCTGTCCTTTTAATTTTGTTAGCATTAGCACAATTCTTTCATTCATCGTTTCTTTTCACTTAGCAATCAACAGGACAGCAATAAAAGAAGAGGCAGAAATGTCTCGCTTATCGAGCAAAATATGCAAAATACACAATGAACGACTTATTTTGCTCAGTAAGTCGCTCACTTCCCAAAAATTTTCCATTTCAACTTCCAGCTAATTCGATCTCTTCCTTCTTCCTGGAGGAAACGATAACATCGTATCACATGCATACAGCCATACAGGAAACGATAACATCGTATCACATGCATCAAAATGGTATTAATCGATCGCCGAGATGACTGAGAAGTGATTTTCAAGTTTCCAAAGAGAACATTAGGATAGCTCTAATAGTCAATCAACTGTTCTAAAAGACAAAGACGACACAAGTGTTTGTTACTAGGAACAAATAATTGTGTCAATTGTGCCGCCAGAAATTTCGCAGACATGAAATACAAGTGAATAAATTTGACATAAGCTGCTCAGTTCCTTACTCTTTATTGCTTAAAATTTGTTTTTAATAGAATTAGAACTAAATATTTCAGACTTTAACCGTACAAATTAGAGCGCTAATCATGTGCTATCAATGATCCAATGCTTTCTGTTATGAATGCGGAAAATAGACGGTAATTATGGATACATGTCGATGTTATACCTGTGAAACTGAACTATACAAAATACTGGAATATTTCTTACAGATTAATATTTATCGTAAAATATCTCAAATAAGTAGGAGACTATCGGAAAAGCAAAAGCAAGACATTAAAGATGGTCAGTTGGTTGATAAAGAATTGTCTATCAGTTATCATTTTACGAAAATTCTTGATTATTTTTAGATTATCTATTATAATTATTATTCATCTTACTATTATTTATTATTATTCGTCCTGCCACTCAATTATTTCGAGATAATTCAATCACAATTGTACCTCATAGTGATTAGCTCTAGTTAAACAGGCCTAAGTCTAGACCTAGTTCAGTAGTCAAACAAATCGACTTTCTGCAGACATGCTGCATTTGTTTGTAATACTGTGTTGAACATCACAATCGTCATACGCTGCAAGAAATCATTACTGCGACCAGTAATCACTCCCACTAACAATGGCAATTGTAATTGTAAACTTGGCTTCATATTAGTTTATACCAGTTTAGAGATTGCCTATTCGGTCTATGAGAATTGTCCAGATCTTTTACTTCGCCATTTCGCTGTTACTTAGTCCTAAACTATTAACAGAGTATTTGTACAAATACTCGCAGTCAAAGAAAATAATAAAATATACATTCTCTAATAAATCTCTGAAGTAAAGTACTTTTTCTCCTCAAAAAATATGTCCACCATAAGTTCAAAATAAGGTCCGAACAGACCTTATACCATCTTCTACATTCGAAAATCAAATTCAACGTTCAGCGCCAGCTTAGATCGTATGCTTAGTTAGACTGGAATATTAGAAGTATTTGTCATATATTAAAAACACACGTATGTATTGGAATTCCTTATAATCTTCTTGTAAATTTGAATTTAGGACCTTCTTTTAATAACTTCGACATTGTTATGCAGTCAGTTAGCACTGGTAGCGATTCTTCTGCAGGATATGCAAATATCTCGATGAACAGCAGCGACCTGTATCTTAGATTCGTTCCTGAGACCATCGTTCTTTTTGAGATCTTGTAGTACAAGTGAGACCACCGAAAATTGAGTATGAATGAGTAACTGATTGGAACGCAAGTGACGCGAAAAAAAGACTGATCATATGAGATCACAAATAATTTTCAGGATATCACAATGCAACTTTACAACGCTACAATGATCAGAAAGGACATGTACTTGTGGATAAAATTACTACACATATAATAGCTTAAGCTTCGGTGAAAGTTAATTACAGACCAGCAAAGGTGGCAATGAGTGTAATGTTGCTGAGAATAAGAAACTAAAATTCCTTTCTGCATTGAGCATTCAGTTTTTATGACGTGATGATTTGATGACATACTCCTTGTTCAGGACTGATAATCCATCCAGTCCCGATTGATGTCATTTCCAAACTTCCAAGATTTTAAAACACGGCCGAAGTTAGAATCCTCAATCGAAAATCGACGAAGAGTGGCTGCTCTTCTTTTTTGTTATGATAGACAGCAATTAAACAGAATCATATGAGTGAATTCAATGTTATGTGAATGCATTGCAACTGCTCTCTTTGCGTGGCCTTTTTTTCGCAGGAAGTCATCATCCAAACTCGAAGGTACTCGAAATGATTCATCAACTGGTAATTAACGCTAATTAATACTTGCAAAAGTTGGATACAAACAATTTGCTCCTAAACACTAATACGAAACTGCAAGTTTCAATAATTAAGAATATATTACTTAGAGATCACAAATATCTCGAGAATCTCCATTACTTTCAAATACTGTGTAATGCTTTAAAACATAATTATCGATCGATTTACCTTTCTCCAGTCATAGTATAATATCCGGTTATTTCTCTCTTTCGATCCCATGCTTTGCCAGCAATAGATACAGGGAATTTCCGGATTTTTTGTAGGACATAGAGAGCCAACGGCTGAATTCCTTTTGCAGGAATTGTAACCTCTGGATTAGGATTTCTTGACCACTATCAATTAATACACATCATCTCTGCCAAAGATTTAAATTGTTTCACCGAAATCAAAGTGTAACAAAGCGGAAAATCGATCGATAAATATACATTTTAACAATTTGTGCCCTCGAAAGTTTAACGAAATATACAGGACAAAACAATTTTGGTCAAAGTTAATGGGTGGGATATATTAGCAATATTGAAATTATCGAACATCAAACTAGCCTGAAATTAGCCAGCAATGAAATTAAAGAATGAGTAGAAAAAATTACTAACTTTTACAAGAAAAGCACAAAAAATTAGCAGTAGTTGGATTAGGAATATCACTCCAATCATCCTGGCCATTTGGAAAGCAGTTGAAATTAGGAAAAGCACAGTGAGCATATTTATTGCATAGATCTTTCCCATACTCATAACCGTGCTTCTTTTTATTCATTACTTCGTTGCCATTTCGATCGTGTGACGTTTTCCCAAAACATAAACGAAATGCAATTTTAACAATGAATGCAAATTGGATACGTGAAAGCGTCTGTAACGTTGCGTGAAGCAACTGCTTTTTAGAAACTCCTCAACTACATACGGATGCTAGTATCTGCACTTTAAATTTCGTTCGAGCGTTCCAAATTAGCTAAGAGGAAATTTAAAAAATTTTGAAAATTTGGATAGGAAAATAAGATTTCAAATTTAATCTCAATAGTAATTTGTTTGCATTCTTTCAAAAGAAAAACTATTACTTACAAAATGACATTTGAATTCAGTGGTTTGGTGAAATCTATGATCTGTAGGACAGACGAAGGTAAATTGGTCGACCTGCCAACGAACACCAGCGATTCTCGACTTGTTAATGGCTGGTCAATTATTGGACTCGTAGCTGTGGCATTTCCTGAAAAGAATAAGATATGAATTTGAACTGCATAATAATAACTGTTGAAAAAATTCTAATTTCTGGAAGAGGAATTTGATTTAAATTTGATCTGCAGTCACTCAGTATCGTGAACTTTCGGGCGATGGAATGGCTGCATAACCTCGTTGTGAACTTCCTTGGAAATTTTTAATTACTCGAAATCGTGCAACTTACCGATGGAAGTGACCGTGTATTTGCCACATGATATGCAGTGGTCAGCTCTGTTTGGTACTTTCCATTGTTTGGAGTTTTCCAGATGCTTAAAATCATGCATTGTTGACAAATCATTTAGCATTAGCCATTCGGTGATACGGGCTCGAAGTTCACAAACAGACATCGAATTTGCCGTTGCCGCACCAATGGCTGGTTGCAGAGTTTGCAGAATTGAGCTGAGATCTTCCTTCGAAAGATCAAATATTGTGGTTGACAATGACGATGGAGCCATCTGCAGCTATTCATGTAAAATTTGAATGCCTTAATAACTGAAGAATGATACTGTCCAGTAAGTTAAAGTTCACCACACAATTCTTCAAAAAATCGAAGGAAAAGCAGAGATTGTGTATGTAAAATTTAGTAGTCAAACTCGGCTAATCAAGAACACATCCAAATTTCGATATCTCAAATTCAATCGATAAGTTTAATCAAAATATAATTTTTTTTCTGAATTTCACCAATTAGAATTTATATACCATAAATTTCAAATTTCAATGAAATGAGCAGGTCCCGTACTCTGCCAAAGTTTTATCAGAAAATCTAAGCAAAGATTGTCATTTATAATCTTCATACATTTCTACCAGAAAAAAAAACCTGAATCAAAACCGTTTGTCCTATTTTTATCATCTTACTGAACTCAGTCGAAGAGAAAATGCTGTAAACTGAAATTTCAGCAGCTGAACATTTTCTAAATACTGTAAGAAAAGAGAAAGGCTGACAGGTGATAAAAAGATCTACGGAAGTCTTCAACAATGTAATTTTAAAAATGAAATTATTAAATGACAAGACTTCTTCAAGCATTAAATATGCTAAAAATTGTAGTAAATGAACGCATAAAAGGTAAACGCTAAAACTGAAAAAAAATATTAAAAAATTTTACAGAATGTAGGGATTAGCCTATCTGAACTAGCGAATATGGGTCAGGCTAAGAACCCATCACCAGACTAAAATTTTAGGCCTTAATTATAAGACTCGGAAGAATAAATAAATAGGTAAAATAAATTCGGAAATTATAAGAAGTTGCTGGTATATAATGATTATAAATACGGAGGCCATTCATTCACTTCCAAGTCATATTTCCAGAAAATGTTAATGAAAAGCTGTTCAAGAAGATAGCAAAATCTGTTTCAATCAAAGCGATTTGCCGATATTTTTTGTTGTCATTTCATTTTAATAATGTTTTGCTGACATATATTTATATATTTAGAGAAAACTATGAAAATAGGCGCTTCGTTAGAAAATCAATAATAGCATACTTTATCACTAAATTGATACTATCATAAGTCAGACGACATCTCGTTTTCCTAACAGGAAATTATTAATCAATAGATCAATAGCAGGATGGATCAGAAAATTTGCGATTTGCGGATGGTACTATTTAGTCTTCATGGAGTGAATAATTTGGAAAGAAGGAATCCGGAATTTCTCGATGTTTGAAAAAACGTAATGAACAGAAGTTAATGACAGCACCGCAAGGAGTGATAGCTTAACTGAATCGAAACCTTACTCTCTTTCCATTTTCCTCAACATCCGTTACTATGGAGAGCTCGACCGATTGCAAAATATGCCATGCTACCTCAATGCACATGGCACTGTTCACAACACTGTAAAAACATTCGAAAGTAATAATTGATGAGCTGAATTTCTGATATGACCGAAATGGAAAGGTAAGTAAATGAGACGGGAAGCTTTTAACGAAATCCGAAAAGTAGAGTGGTTTCCGGTTTTTGACGGGATTATTTCTACGGATACAGATTTGCTAGTGATGCAGATTTATGCAAGAACGGATATGACAAGGAGGGAGAGAAAGAGAAAAGGAAAGGGAGAGACATGTGCATGTCAGGCTAGTAAAAGCGAACGAGTGAAGTCATAAAAAGTTTAGAGGCCTAATGAGCTATTCAAGCAAACATCCACGGAAGTTACAGGCAAGCAATATTTACTACAAATGCTATTCAGACGCTAAAACAGTTGCGTTTATAGTAATCGTGTGCCTAGGAATGAGGCTTTTTTAATCATTCTCAGCCAGGTAAGGTTGACATGTATCGTTAAGAAGCGGTAAATATGGATTAATTGTTCGATCGTTGGAGATCATCTCTTAGAAATTTAATACGTCTACTGTTTGAGGAACGATAGCGCAAAAGCATTGGCGGAAAAGTCATTTTCGGGTTTATTGCAGAGAATGTAATACTGAAACAGAACGTGACACAAATGTTATGTGAAAGGGCACAGAAGGATTTTGAAATGGAACAGTTCGAGTCATTGACATTTACCACAATTATTGGCGGTACCGTTTGTTATTGATGTGATGAATAGGTTGAAGTCAATATAACAATACTTTTCCCTTTTGAGATGAATGAGGCCAAATCGAAGTGGACAGCGGCGAAAATAGCAGTTGCAACTAACTGGCAAATAAGTGCAAAGAATTGGGTGAAGACAGACCTGTCTCCTTTTTGGAACAAGATTCTATTGGTAAAGTGATAGGAGACAATGCAGGGCATAGGCTACTGAAGTTTAAATGTATTTGGCCTCAAAAATTAAGGCAGACAATCATTTCCCTCTCTCTTTACCCTTCTTTCCTGCCTTTATAGGCTGAACAAAAATCGTCCTTTTGCCCCAATCAGAACAAGGAAAGTACAAATACGCATACACATACACGTATACATATATATATATGTATATATGCACATACACATATATATCTGCATACATCTCTCAGAATAACACATCGATCCGTTTGTTTTTCGTTCTCTTCCCGTTGACTATTACGCATTCGTTGTGTGCTTGGCATATGTGATGACTCTTTCTATGATAATGAAAAGTATTTGAAAGATGAAAGGACAGTAGCAATAAGAAGGAATGTGAAATATTATACTTTTGAAACTCTTTCAGAGCCATTTTTCATTGCAACTCATTTGGTTCGAAGTAATTGTTAATGCGAGTAATTAGAATATTTTGCAAATTTTCAGGAAACATTGCAATTTAATTAAAAGCCTCAGTGGTAGTCTGAGGAGGCAGAATGAGAAGCTGAATACGGCCTGGATTTAACATCAATGAGCGAGGGTCAAAATAGTGCAAGCATTTCTTTGCACTCCTCCATACATTACTAACTTATAGTTAGAAATCTAGCAATTATTAATGCATTTCAGGCTCTTAACTTTCAACTTTAGTTTCACTCTCAGTGGTACACTTGACCAAGTTAATGGAAAGGAATTTTACGCTATATCTACAGTGACAAACATAGCAACAAGAGAAATATGCACTAAAAAATGACAAACCTGGATTTCAATGAACAAAAAAAGGATTGATGTGCGAGGTATATTGTTAAATATATTCAAATTAATGGAAAATCCATTAAGGATAAAACGTATTTTAGCAGCCGGGAATATGGTTTAACTAACTGCTTAATGGTATTTTTAAATGGAGATTTTTCTTGCTCAGTTTTTCTGGGCTAAATGGGAACTATCCATCTTCTCAGTGTCTTTTTTCTCTTTACTTTGTCCAACAAAAAAAAAAAAAAAAAGAAACATTTAAATAGGATTTAATTTTTTCACACTACAAAGTTTTCTTATATCGAAGGAAGAATTCGTCAGTTTAGAACTATTTTTCTGCCAACTACAAAATTTCAGATTAAGCTTTGGTTTTGCATTAAACTGATAAAGGCATGAATTGTGCTGTTCAATAGGAACAGATTGTAAATTGTAAACAGAGGCTTGATTGAAAACCAGCCATGACAGCCAATTATCATTTTTTAGACAGAGTGAAAATCATACCTCAAATCATTTCTTATAGATTCTCATAATCTCAATTAAACCAAGGCACGACCTTTATTCAAAACCCAATCCAATTTTTGAATCCCAGTCGACTGGTCTTAAATTATTTCCTAATTTTTATTTACTGAAAAAGTTGGTATAACGTGCAATGTTTATGAAATATATGGATCACACAAAAATAAAACACGAACTCTAGAACTTGGACTCCAGTAGACTGAGATATATTGCACTAATTAGTATATAATAATTGGAAAGATTTTCTTAGCATTCTTTGCTAAATATTCACAATCTTTTAAAATGCAAGATATAAGGCGGTAACTTTTTGCATCAACTATAAAATTAAGAACATCCGACATTAATACAACAATGCGCAAAAGAAAGTGTAAAACTATGTTTCCATTCTTCCAATGAGCAGACAAATAATATCAAATCGAAATATCGTTGTAGTATTACATTTCATACCTTATATTTATCTAATGATTACACTCTCTCACTAGATTGTTCTAGGAATATTTAAAGATGGTGTAAAACGAGTTATCAGTATCCATAAAGAAAAAGCAGTGAAAGGCAGGAGATGATATAATAAAATAATCGTACGGAAATAATTGGTTCACAATGAGATACTACGCGAAAAAAAAAAACGGAATCTTGCATAATAGTTCTTAGTTAGCATCATCTTTATCTTTCGTACCGTGCTTAAGCATTCGAGTAAATTCGACGTAATCAAACATACCGTTTCTGATCGGCGCATCGCGAAACAGTTCATCAACCTGTAATCTTGCTCCTGCAGAAACTATAGCAGAATAACATAAATGTGATTCAATGAAAACTCTTGTCAGTAAATGTTGTTCATTAAATGGACATGTATTTGGGGGATGAAAATGCTGAACAATAATACAGTTTTCATTGTAAAAAGCTACTGTTTGGAAATTGTTATCACAGGAAGCATTAAATGTGACTTCATTCTCATATCATGAATGTGACTAATCATAAACAAGTTTTTATTTTCTAAAGTAGTTTTCCTGCAAAGTGTCTTTTCTGCTAAATGCAACTGCTATGGATAGAGAAAATAATGAAAGAAACCTCGGGACAAAAAATATGCCCCGAAAATTACTAGAATGCAAAAGACGACTTGACACTTCAAAAATATACAATTTCCGACAAAAGTAGTCAATAATGCGGGACGTGCTCCTCAGCAACTTCTATGAAATCTCAAAACAAGAGGTTAAATATATGTTAAGAATTACCTGCTCATCGGTGTAGCGATCACCCATTGTAGTTAGCAGTTCCCGAAGACGATCTTCGTTCAGAAAACCACTATTATCTACGTCAAAACATTGAAATGCGTTTTTGATAACCTACATAAAAATTATCCCGATAGCTAGTAACTAAGAGATATTTATATTCAAGTGTTAGATGCTGAAGGTTAAATTCTACCATTCTTCAAACAGCAAGATAATAGTCGGTGTAAATGTATTGCGTTGCGATATCTTCTAACCAAAACAAATTGGCACAATGAAAATAGGTCAACCCAGATATTGGTATGGGATGAATGGTCCACAAACAAACAGACCAATGTTTGTGAACTGTAACCTCTTCTGGATCCGTTCCAGTCAATTTCTCGCCAAATAATGTAAGGAACATGGTGAAATTGATTGGTCCTGGGGCTTCACTGATCATTTTTTCCAAAAATTCCTCATTTACTTCTTTCCCTGCAAACAAACTTCCCGCTTACCAATTAATGTGGGTAAAGCATACAACAAGATATGTTTCGAGAATGGCATCCATATATTTACTTAATAGCACGAACCTAACGATGCAAACATATCCTGCAAATCTTGAACGTCTATGAAACCATCACGATTCTGATCGATCATATTAAAAGCCTCTTTAAATTCCTGAAACTTCATGGATGAGAATTTAATCATTCAACACGTTAAATATAAAACTTTACAGCTGTAAAGAAGTAACGACGTTAGAAAGAAATATTGAATGCTACATACTAATTCCAGTTAATGAGTTAGGAGAAATAGAAATATGTTTACGCAAATCTTAAAGAAAGTTGCAAATTGTTAGCTGCATACAGTGGGATTCGAAAAAGAGATAACATAAAAAGAGAAACCAATGGTCAACAAAATTTACTATTATTTTATGTGGAAGTAAAATCCTAACAGCCTATACCTTTCAACCGACATTACCATAAGCTAGAAGTGACCTGTATTTGAGCTTGGTCGAACATAGCAAAGACATTACTGGTTGCTCGTTGCGGACGAGGTCGTCGATTCAGCGTCTTCCTGGATGCCATGACAGATGTATAGCGTAGGCAGTTGACTGCAAATGGAACATCTCTAAGTGATCGATATCATACATTAAATGTATCACATGAAATACATAAGTTTCACAAACGCACAGTGAGGTCAAGAAGTTAAACAGGATAACATTCCAAAGGGATGATGGCATACAAGACCGACAACACAGCATTCCAGGACTACCAGTGGTATTCATTTAATTATGTATGACATTAGCAACTGAAGAGAAACATTAAATCCGAAATTCTGATAGAAAATAAATTTCAAAATTTGACAAATGACTTCATATTCATTATCAATAGAAGGCAGGCTATGGCACAGAACAGAAAATGACATGTGTTAATTTTTATTATTAATGACCATTCATTGAATACAGTGCAATAAAGGTGCAGAGGCAAATGCGCCCCCCATCCAAAGCACAAAATAACAGACCCTCCACCGCACCCCGACCTGTTATCAAATGCAAATAACAATGAATGATGTGCACCCAGTATGAAATTTCGAAGTTCCACATTGACAAGATAGAAGTTGGTGTTACTTAGCAGAGTCTGTGATAAGGTGAGCTTAGAAAGTGTATTTGAAGCATATAGCGGGGAAGTAATGACGAGAGAAGAGATTCCGCGACATCTCAAATAGAATTGTTCCCAGTATATTTATAAATTGGAGAGGCCAGAAAATGCGACAAGCAGATTAGCACTGGTGACTATTTGTTGATCTGTAAATAACCTGCTCTTTCGTAGCCGATCAAACCGTAAAAGCGACCAATAATCGATAATATACGAACTTTGAGCAAGGTTTTAGAGAACTACGATGGAAGTCTTTTCAAGCGGAGATATGGAAGCCTTCATATCACTTTTGCGCTGCTCCAGAAGAATTTTATCGGACAGCAAATAAATGCCTGACAAATAAGTGCTCCTGAAAGAAGAACGGAAAAAAATAAATAAATGGTACAAGCAGCTTTAAATTAGTGATAATGTCATCATATTTCATTCACAAATTACTCCTTGACAAAAAGTACTCCTTAACCTACATGTGCCCATAAATTACTTGAGGGCTTCTGGAAGGAAGGAGTAGAGAATAAACAGTGAGACGGTGATAGATAACAGCTGTTCAGGAGCAATTGTTTTTAATCTTACTTAACGCCGATCTCAAAGTTACATAATCAATGTGAAACTAGTTGATTTTCAATTGATTTGCAGAATTTCCTGTTTCATTGCTTAATTTCCAGAACAAAATATAATTGTATCTTAGTCCTTACGTTTATTGCAACACATGAACACATGGACAGCTTTGAAGTCAGGAAAGTCTTAAGTTTTGAGATCTTGATTTGAGGTCATATCTTCAGAGTGGTTTTGAGGTCTTTGATCTTCGGAAAGTCAATCCGATGAAATCGAAAATTTTGGGTATTTTCGAACTCTAGAAGTTACTGGATCAACCAACCAAAAATCATGCCCACAAATGTCAAACGCCTCGAGCTCAAAATTTCTAAACATTTTTGAGATTGTTTAAGGGAATTGTTGGAAGTGATTATCCATTATGGTCGTGGAAAATTTCATCGGCGTTCTTTTCTGCGTATCCAAGATAGCATTGGAAGTTCACGGCATCCCAGCAGATACAAATCGTCTCGCTAAGACCAACAACACTCACGAAGATAAGTTTTCCTGCTATTATCAATTTGCGACAAATTTTTTGTTAGAATGAAAATTTTTCAGAAGTACAAAATTAATATTCCTGTTAGACTTTACCACAGAACATTTAAGCCGAAAAAATCAACCGATAATTTCAAGATTTGCTTGAGCAGATCTTTGTGCTCCTACGATCTCTCGTTTAAGTTCGAGTAACATATCAGTTACAACGTATTTTTGCAGAGTCCGTACAACACGAATTAAAGATGTTCTATACTAACTTGAATGAGGAAGAAAAAGCACAACTAAAAAAATTCGCCAAAACAAGTGCTTCAAACTTCTCACTTACAGATGTTCAATTTTTGGATGGTCTAAAGGCAATACTTTCATTTTTCACCATAACATCCCTGCAAAAATTTTTTAAATAGCGTTGGAGGAATCGAAATTTGTTCATCCCTAACTCCCTAAACAAAAATCGAAAATGTGCTACAGTACTTCCATTCCAATTTCTTCCTGAGACCAAGTCACAATTGTCAATTGTAAATAATAATTGTAAATTCCGAGATTATCTTTTGTATAACACCACAAAAACAGTTTGTGGGACTACCATTTCTGTAAACTAAACTGTAATTTCAGAATGAAGCAGGAGAACTTTTCGGCAAGCTGACTGGTCTGAGGGATGTAATCAATACAAAATTGGATGCTATGCAACCGGAAAGTCGGCGCTTCATTGAAAATGTAATTTTTCGAAATTTTGATATGACTTTCATAAACTTTGTTTGCAATTCTAAAAATTTTAAAGAAATTAGACAATTTTTCCTTACATTTGAAGATTTACAGTTACTGCGACGATTTTTGGCAGCTTTCAGTCAAGATGGATTAATGAATATTCTTGAAGCGTTGAAGGGATTTGGAAAAGAGGTTGTAGACATGTTTGATGGACTATCAAAACCAATTCAGAATGATATTCTCAAAGCTTTTCCTATCATTGGATCATACGTTACAAGTAATACTCTTCGACTTTCCCACATTGCATCTCGTTCTTAGAATATGTTTATGTAACTGTACTCATCATTTTCAGGTGATATTACTCGTTTAATGTTGCGGAAGTTGGCTGAATTGGATTTGATCTCCAGAACATCGACTCTAGCTCCGACCGTTGATCACAATAAAGGTGATCCAGGAGATTTTCCCAGTCCACAACTGATCGGGCCTAAAAACCCTGGGGATTTTGATTCAGATGATAACACTGGCTTTGAGAAGGAAAAATCAGTAACAACCACTATGTATCCATCAAATGGTAATGAAGAAGTGTTGTCCATCAAAAAAGTTGTGGGAAACAAATGAATAAAACTTTCTCTGTGTGATTTCCAAAATGTTTTCCCGTATTATCAATGAGATGTGAATTAACTGGTGAGATTAGTGTGATAGCCTAAAGAACTTAGTATTATCGGAAAATACTCTTCTGGTTTAAAATTCCACTAACTTCTGCAGAAATTAGTTTTGTTGTTTGTTTCCATTTCGGTCCCGTGTTTTCAAAGGTGATACAATATTTGACTTGCAATGACTTGCGATTGCCAAATACATTTCAAGAATATCTCCACTTTTATTAGACTAGTATTAATCTCTCGTGATATGATATTACTTCTCGAAAGTGTCGTGTCGATTTTAATTTTTTCATATAGTTTGAGTCACGCGATAAATGTATTATGAAAAAAAACTGTGAGTTGCACTTGGACAACTGTGACTATTAAAAAGTCTAATAAGCAGCTAAAAGGGAAAGGTAGTGTAAGTTGAAATGATGGCGGTAATTGTCCGTAGTTGCAACTGTAGCTCGATCAGTGATTCGAAATTTACCAGTCATTCTAGTGCTACTTTTATTTCCGATCAGTTCATCAACTTTTAAATTATCGCGGCTCATAATTTGAACTAAAGTATATTAAAAAGGAACAATAGCCACTAATATATCACCATTTGGAAACGAGTTGTTCGGCACCAGCAGACTAAAATTCTGAAAGCCACATTCGATCAGCGGCTAGTTCAAAAGCAATCCTTCAGCCAGGCATTAAGAGTAAATTGTGTTCCTATCTAGAAAAAATTCACGATTTTGGGATTCATTTTGCAGGCAATCAAAAGAACCATCCGTTCCTCTCTCTGATTTCCCGTGCTCCAATTCCTCCTGCTATTACTACGCCTGCTATCCATTGTATGACTTCCTAGAACCGCTCTGGTAATTGCCTTCTTTGATTTACTTAACTGGTAATTTCCTGAATTCATCGAACCTCTAACTCTACAAATTTTTTCAATAATTTGACGGAATGTTACGGTGTTATTACGTGATATCTCTGATACTGTTGAGCTGCATGAAATTATCGACATCTAGACCGGCTGGTAAGCTTGCATCCAATCGAACCGATATTACTTCTTTGGCTATCGAATTACTCGGTTAGATTTGTGATCAAAAATTTTTGATTTCTCAAGTGTTTAATTAGATGGTTTCAATATTTAAAGTTATTTTTCACAAAGTTCGATCCGGAACCTTTCAACCTACAGATGTGGTTGTGTCGCTGTTTGATGAAATTTATTTCTGGAATCTTCAAGCAAGTTAAAAGTCGCTGAAGATGCTGAGAATCGAACTGATAAATTGATTAAACGGAATGTGTCAGTAACATTCAATCATTTTTCGTTTCTGGTGCCGTCATCACCGGAGATATGGGGGAAAGGTTGATCATCCTATTAGTAAAGAAATGCATAATGCTTCAAGAAATTTTTGTGGAAAATTTCAGAATTTATTCCATCCAGCTTGTTGACATTTTTCGGCGATCTGAATGACACGGATCGAAGTGCGCTTTTAGAACTAACTAAAAACATTTCTCGAAGCCGGTTAACAGCTGATACCGAAAAGGAGTTCCTGGAGGGCTTGAAAGTTAGCTTTTATAGATTTTCCAAAAAGCTCACATCTCTTTATTTTTCCCTTTCTGTTTATTTGTCCATCAGCTCCTTCTTCATGCAATATAATAATTCATCATATCGCAACAACTTTATGAAATTTACGAATTTCGTTTTTGCAGAAAAAAAGTGAGAATGCTTATCAGAAAGTAATGGGTGTGCAGAACTATTTGTCACACAAAATTGAACATTTAAAGCCAGAAAGCAAAGGTTTCACTAAAAAAGTTAGTTTTTGTTTGTGTAATTAAACTAAATTTGTGAACATCAACATTTTCAGTGCGTCAAAAGTGTGTGTGACATAAAATTAAAGTTCAAAATAATAGTATTCTTATTTCAGGTTAGCGACAAGTATATTGCACTGTTCACAAATCCACAAACAGCACCGAAAGGAACGTTCATGAAAATGAAATCATTCGTGAATGAAACATTTAAAATATATGACCAACTGAGTGAGGCAGCAAAAAATGACCTAAAAACAGCATTTCCGGAAATAGCACAACTAATTAGAAGTATATTATCATTCCATTTATAGGAAAGAAAGCTTTGATGGAAACAGGAGACATAATCATTGTTGAAAAGTATTTTCTATAACAAACAACGGTTCATTCGTCACTTTTTTAGATCCACGATTTCGGGATTACGTGAGACGTGTATTCGACAGTACCGACGTAAAAAGAGCATTCAACCGGGCGGATAGAATGATTAATCCAAAGCAGTAACTTGCAGCGCGTCTGACTGATATATTTGCCGTCTCTCCTTTTTTTTTAAAATATGTCATTTCAATCCACTTGAAAAAGAAAAGACGTAAAATAAACTTTCTTCTTTGATGAAACTTATATGCTAGTGAGATTATTATCATTGTAAGTTTTGGTAGAATCAATAGCTCCACAAATTGGAAAACAAAAGTCTTCCATAATCAATTTTCATGCGGTCTTTTTCTCTTCGATTTGTCTGGCTTTATCATTTCTATTAAGCGTATAAGATGCAATTTTATAAGAGAAGAACTTCGTCTGTCTTTTTTACTATCGCTTTCATTATACAAGAAATTATTTATGGTCTGTGGTGATGATTCATCATCAAGTGGCTTATGATTTTATCAGATTTCCCTTCATTTCATTTATTTGAGAGTTTTCTTTATAAATATCTCCATTTCAACTTTATTCTTCACAATAATTTCAATTTGTTTGATTAATGAATGTTTTTCCTTTTCGGTACATTTTCGTTTTTTCCAGTCCTGGTTTTTTGACTTAAAGGTAACATGGAATGGGTCACCATATTAGTATGAAATTTGTAATCTTTTGTAATGATTGACACGAAATTTCTATCACATATTTATAAGGAATATAAATGGACAAAAGAAGAATGCAAGGATAAGCTGTTGAACAAAGAAAAGAATATCGGGTTGAAGATCACCAAAATGACCTGGAATGCATGGTCATTTCGAAGTGAACTATCACACTCCAGTAACAACAGTATGTGGACGTTTTGAAGAAAGTACATAACGCCAAATTCTTCCATTAATTCATCTCAGTAATTCATAAATATTGATTTGAACTAGCTATTTTTGATGATTGCAGTTACCGAAAACATGTTGTCGTCTTCTGTCTGTGTCCTAACACTACCCGACTATTACTATTTACACCGATTTCACCCGGGATTTCATAAAATAATGACAATAAATGAATAGTGATCATCTCGTGCAAATGATAAAGGGAGCATTTCCTATTGTTTAAGTAAATCTACAGTGACTTCTGCACCTCTTATTTGTGTCCTTATTGACCTGTACTGATATACATAAATACAGAACGAACATATGCCACATACTGCTTCTCGGTATCTTTTCCTCATTGTTTCATATTTCTATCTTCCTGAGTTTCAGATCTATGATTTAAATAGCACAACTTCTCATTATCGCTAATGTCAAAAGATACTAGCCCATCCGGTTTGAAATGGACCGACGTTGGTCTGAATTAAAACAAGATTTTATCGCCTTTCTTCACTAATTTTAGATCAGAATATTTAATGTCCAAAATAATATTCTCAATAAGTCAATGTTCATCAAGAAATTTTTACACATTTCATGGAGGGAAATAGAGAAAATGATTTGCATTTTTCCACCAACTATTGATTGAAATATACTGCAAATTTTCGACTTTCCAATTATTTTATGGAAAACCGAAATTCAAAAATCATGAAATGATCGCAAATTAAAAAAATACACTGGGAATAGGAATTCTTTTGAAATTACCGAGCATTTGTATAAAGTACCAAATGAGTTGATTTGGAGAACTGGAAATCACTGAGGAAAGTTCGATTTTTAGCATCAGAAAATTTATAAATAAATTTAGCCAGGCGAGGCCAGGCAATAGGTCGCAATAAGCAAAAAGCCTCATTTCAAAGAGTACGACTGGTTACTACTGATTACTACTGGATGACAATTTATTACTGGTATGTAAACGAAATGAACTATTTTTTCGTCCAGAACACAGTGATCTATTTATCCATATGGCCCCTTGCAACTATGATGCAATAAGCCTCAACGATGTCTAAATTTCGGTTCAGTTAGAATTCACATGTTGTTGAAAGATATTTTTGAGGAAAAAATTAAACGCTTAACCGATAAAGGTGATAGAAGATCCCAGGCAAAGATGGAAATATATCAACTGGAAATCAGAACAGCTCTTGTGATTCATTTAAATTTATAAATTCTTAATTTTTCAATCAATGAATAATTCTTTTGTTTTGTAATATAAAAGCACACAAGTCTTCGCTTCCTTTAAAAAAATGAATGTTGAACGTTTTTTCCATTTTCACAGTTGGATGCTCCCACAAAGCAATGTTCTGAAACCTCAGAGTTTGGATTTTTTCTCGTGATCTAAAAGTCACTGGGGAATTTCCCTTGTATATCAGCGGATTCTGTTCCTCCCAATCATCTCTAAATGTTACTCAAAATTTTTTGGCACCTTTCTCACAACCGCCAAACTTCAGTTCATAAATCCTGAAATCTTGTGATCTGTCCCTATTCTAATTTGTAGATTTATCCTAAAATATAATAGTAACATATAATAACTACTCTACTATCCGTTCTTAACCATGTTAACATTAAGACTTGTTACCCAATCCTTTCCTGTCAACATTATCTATCAGTGACGTTGTTTATAGGGAGTATGACCTTTGCGAATCAACAGTATTATTTAATTGTCAAATTTGACATGCATTGCTTAAATTTGTTTCAATTTATCCATCAATTTTACACATTATCGACAACATTTACTTCATCCACACTCTTAAGCTGACTTTTGCCTTTTGGTATTTTAGCAACAATTGACAAGACTCGCAACAACAGACAAAATTTGTTCACATCCCCCACAATCCCCGCCCTTCCACGAAGATCAATCTGACAACATCTTCGTTGCCACCTAATAACGAATTTGATCTCTCCACTTTTCTGCTGGCAGCAAAATTCAAAAACGCGAGGGTTAATTCGAAATAGAACTGGTATGGAATGTTTACTTTTTGGGTTGGTAAATTTGGTCCTTTGACTCGAATTCCTTGGAACAAAATACTTTTATCGATGACTGAATAATCGATAAGAGATAGAATGTCACCTGACTTCACCACTTTGCATTCATGATTGCTGGAATTTCAATAAATATCCTTAACTTTAAGTTTGGTCAAAAATTTCAGTGGTTAGTAAGTGTGAAAATGGAGGTGATATTATCATCTATTACAATGAATGCATGCTTTTTGCCATTTACAGTGCTCAAGAGAGTAGGACGAATGTTTTGTTCGGGCAGAAATATGCTGAAGGATTCATTAAGTATCGTCGATCCTGAAGCTTATAAAATCATGCAAAAGGTTTCGTTGCTTATAATTTTTTTCCAAAGTTTTGTATTTGTTGAGAAGTTTTCTTTAAACTTTACAAAATATTCGCTGAATTTTCGACTTGATTTGAATTTCGCTTGTTTTAGTTATGCATAAATTATTCAATTTCACATTTTTACTAAATAACATTCTCAATCCAGTATGAAATAATACAGTTTGGGATTAATATCATATTTCCGAATATTGCGATGTATATTCGAAAATGCAGGGAACTTTTTTAGTTTTTTTTTTTATTAAGACTCAGCTGCCCTCCTATATATAGCCCAGTTACTTGGCTTTTTGCTTCCGATCTTTTCACTTGCTCACTCTTAGAATAACACCTTTAATCCCGTCCCCAACTGCGGAAAGATCTCAACGATAGAGAGCAGTATTTTTGTAACTTTGCAACTACTGTTTTTTTTTTCTTCAAAACATTGTAGGAAAAGGAAAGGCAAAAACAAGTATTGGAACTAATTGCAAGTGAAAATTTCACTTCAAGAGCTGTTCAGGATGCATTAGGTTCTTCAATGTCGAACAAGTATTCAGAAGGCTATCCTGGTGCCAGGTTCATCATTTCTCTTTTTGTAAATGAATTGTTTGTTAAACTTCAATTTTTACCTCATCAACTTCCTGAATGCATTGCCTACTATTCGATTTTATTTTGGGTGCCATTATGTCATTATACGATGTATTTTTAAAAAATGTGGAAAAAAGTCTGAAAAAGGTAAAATTTTTCATTTTTTATAAAGTTTTTGCTTAGATATTATGGAGGCAATGAATTCATCGATCAAATGGAAATATTATGTCAAAACCGTGCTCTTCGGGTATACATTTGATCTTTCTTGGTTATTGAAATGTTGGAGGTATAACTTGAGATTTTTTCCTAGCAATCTCCTGGCTCTAAAATCATTTTTTTTATAAACTTTTTGAAACAAACAATTTAGTTGTGTGTAAAATGTCCGCTTTTCCAAATCTTGGTCTTGTTAGAAATTTATTTGCATTATCTCTACTGTTTTAATTTCTCAGTGTAAATTTTTGCTCGTAGCAATCCTTTCACAATGTGAGCGAAAACACTTCTTAAGTATTATGTTGTATTAACAATCCTTTATAAGAAGTGGAGTTTTTTAGGTGTTTGGTTTGGATGACAAGAAATGGGGCGTGAATGTGCAAGCTCTTTCCGGTTCACCAGCAAACCTTGCTGTTTATGTAGGCTTACTGGAATCGGATGGTCGAATCATGGGTTTGGACTTGCCTGATGGTGGACATTTGACCCATGGGTAAAGACTTTACATTGGGTTTGATGATTAGGAAATTGAGATTCTGTAATTAGAAAAACGGTAATTGGAATTGGAAGGTTATAGTTTTAATTGTTCTACTTTGTACAGTCACACAAAACATCCTATTTTATTTTCCAATAATCAAATGCTAAAAAATCCATCGTAGTTGCATTTGGTGAGGCTCCTAGAAATTTCTGATTCTAGGATCTGTTGGTCTTCGATATGAAGTGAATTTATGAGGAATAGTGGGGAAAGTCTTTCAGAAGTATTCTGACAAGATCTTAGGTGGAAGTGTCTTCTATTCCACCTCCTTTACGACATATTTGGTAATCAAAATTTAGTTTTCCTTAACGAAATTTTCGAAATTTCCAGGTTTTTTACATCTCGGCGAAAAGTTTCAGCAACGTCCTTATTTTTCCAGTCGATGCCTTACAAAGTTGATCCCAAAACTGGTTACATCGATTACGATCAGTTGGAGTACACTGCGTTACTGTTTCGTCCAAATATTATTATAGCAGGTAAGTTCGGTTTTTCATCAATTCAATAACATGTCGCATACCGTCGTCACACCGAATTTTCTTTCTTTTTTCTTTTTTTCATGTTGTTGTGGATTCTATACTTTTGATTGGTGATGTAGGACAAAAAAATATTTGGTGCGACTTTAAAGGCATGGTTTTTATTGAAATAATATGGGTAGCAAATTTTGGGAGTTTTTTAGCTCTCACTAAACTTGTATTCCATGATTTTCAGGAACAAGTTGTTATTCACGCTTACTTGATTATAGTCGCTTCCGTAAGATAGCTGATAAATGTGGTGCTTATTTATTGGCTGATATGGCACATATCTCGGGTCTAGTTGCTGCAAATGTCATTCCATCACCTTTTGAATATGCCGATGTTGTTACAACTACAACCCACAAATCATTACGCGGTCCTCGTGGGGCGTTGATTTTTTACAGGAAAGGTTGTCACTTTTACTATTTATATGCAGATTTTAATTTGTCAAGATGCGTAAATTAATTAAATTCTAAAAGTTGTAAATTTAATTATCACTAAGGTTTGAAGAAAATAACTCCAAAGGGTGAAAAAGTGACGTATGATTTGGAACGGAGGATAGATTCTGCCGTATTTCCGGGATTACAAGGAGGACCTCATAATCATACAATAGCCGGTGAGTTTTTGCAATTAGATTCTTTTGTTTTCGAACATTTTCCAAGTTTTCAGTAGTATGATATTTCCAAAATCAAACATTTTCAGTCACTGTTGGAGTAAGTGTTGAAATTATTGTTATCATCACTATCAACAGTTATTATTGTTATTATTTGAATGCAAACCTCTGCTCATATTTAACTTATTTTTTAACTGTCAATGAGTAAAAAACAGAAGAAATTTTGCTTATAATATACATGGCCTTTGTTTTAGGTATTGCTGTTGCCTTAGGTCAGTGTCTTACGGAAGATTTCGTTGAATACTCCAAGCAAATTTTGGCAAACTCTGAAGCGCTTGCAAATAGATTAATCGAACTTGGCTATACTTTGGTTACAGGTTGCTTTCATTCACTGGTTCATAATTGGGGTTGTGAATGTGCATTAAACTAGGCAAATCAGCGAATTGAGCACTGTTAACGCTTTATCATATATGCTAATATTATTAATGTGTATTTTACTTACAGTTTATTATTACTGGAATTTACTTTTACTATTATCAGTTAGTTTGCGATTTTGTGATTACTTATTATATAATTCGTTCACTTTTATTTTTCATTCAGTATATACAAAGATGATTTGCACATTCACTTTTAGAAAAGTTCTTTAGCTCATGAAAAACGGTGGACTGCAAGTTTATGACGTTCTTTGTTGACTTCTTTAACCCTTGTTTTTTCACTAAATGCTACTCATTTTATGATTCTCTTAAAGATGGACATACCCTAACTGCAGAGCAGTTGGAGATTCAGCTGTGCTCAAAAAAGACGTTTGAAAATTACCGATCAGATGATCCAAAAAACATACGCATAAAAACAACAAGACCACTGTGCACTGTGAAAGCATTTTCAACTGATTTTCTTCTGAATCTGTTCTTTTAACCCTCTGTTAAAGTATAAAAGTTCTCGTTGTCTTGGCCTTCCTGCAGCTACTCTGAATCTGTTTAGCAACTTGAACCTCTAAGTGTTATAAGTAGATAGTTGTACTTGGATGATTTAATAGATTGATTCCTCATTCCTCTCTTTTTTGTTTTCTTTGCTATTTATCTATCATTTAGTTATCCCATGGCCGTGGCAATCTAATATCACCATAAACCTTTCGTATAAGAAAGGACTTCCGTACTTGAAAGTACAAAACATTGATTACTGTTTCTTTCTTCTCTGGATTTGACCAAAGAATGGTCATGCTGATAATTATTGGTAGCGGTATAGTGCATCTCTAATTCGTCTTTCTAAAAAGGACTGGAAATTTCTTCTTTTTTCTTTTATTTTTTCATACATTTGAAGTTTTTCTTTCATAATTATTTCTCTTTTCTTATTCATTTCTTAATTATTTTTCCAAAGTTTACTGACTCCTTCAATGGAAACTTTTTCACTTCTTGCTTTGTTTTGTATAAGGCAAGAGGAAGTGTTTTCTCCGGAATCTCTGACTGAGTTTCATAGTTAGGTATCTAATGAAGACCTGTGGTGTTTTCCGGGAGAAGTTGTGCTATTTTACTGACTTTTTTCTCACGTCATTGTCATGGCAAGCTGAGTCAGTGTTTGAAAAGACTTAGTTTTGCCTTGTTTTCCCGATACATCAACAGCTAATAACTGTTTTTCATCAGTATTACTCTCTGTTGTTTATTTAATCTTCACTCTTATTTATCTGAACTTTATTTACTTCTGTGTATCACTTTAGTTGATGCTTTTCTTCAGGTGGAACAGATACTCATCTCTGTTTGGTGGATTTGCGTCCAAAAGGTTTAGATGGTGAGAAAGTGGAACACGTCCTCAATTTAGCTCATATTGTTTGCAACCGTAATACTTGTCCAGGTTGATTTTTTTTCTAGCTGAGGTCATGAGGAATAGATTGCTATTTCAGCAGCTTTTGTTGGAAGTACCAATACTACGCGGTGTAAAGTCATAAATTAGGAAATTTTCTCAAATGTTGTGCTAGTGGTTCCATTGGAGTCTAAAACCATTATGGCATTATCTAACGGTATAGTTTATATTGGTTGTTCGATTTTAGGAGACCAGAGCGCTCTACATCCAAGCGGTATACGTCTTGGAACACCAGCTCTTACTACACGAGGAATGAAAGAAAATGATTTCGTGAGAGTTGCCGATTTTATTCATGAAGGTATAGCTTTATGCAAGCTCTTCAGGTAACTTAATAACAACTTCAGTTTTAAATAATTTTCAAAGCGACTTCTTTAACTTTTTCGTAACATTACTTGGAATTGCAATCATATTTGCAGGGATGGAAATTTTGATGAAATATCATTCACAGATAGGTAAAACGCTGAAAGACTTGATAGCGTTTACCAGCTCGAATGAACAGTTTATAGCAGATATTGATGAGTTGAGAGTAAAAGTGAAGCAGTTCACTAGCCAGTTCGATATGCCTGGGAACAATGATATTTAAAAACTTCAGCTGGCATTAATGCTGTATGATTTTGAAATTTGATGCATGTTCTTGCTGCATAGTACCATATTACAGAGATTAGATAAGGAATTTTGGATCTCAAATATTGCTTATATATCAACATATTTTGACATTTACTGATATCAAATAAATTATTTAGTTTTTTAAAGAGTTTATTATTGAGAAATGTCATTGGTTTTGTAAGTCATCTTATTCTGACTGAAACTTTTTTTAGAGATACCATTAGTGGAGACCTTTTTTACGGAATTTAAAATCCAAACAAATAAAATCAATTTCTTGAAACTGCTGATGAACTTCTAATTTATTATATGCAAATTTACATTGTTTCTAAGTCTTAGAAAAACATAACGCGGACATTATTTTAGTTTCCACATGACGTTAACTTACATTGTAATTCATTAATAGAGACTTACATTCATCACTCGGTGATTGTGATATTTGTTCACTTTCTCAGGTGAGGTATGATGTTATGTTACGTTTCTTTAATGATCAATAAACTCTTCCTCTATGTTTTTCCTTTCCGCATTGTTCGATTTTTTGAAACATTCATTTACAGATGATGGATCATTTGAATTTATCGATCTTTAGACACACAGAGATACAGATGTATCAGTTCATATAATATAGTAGATCGTGGCTAAATAATCCACTGTAAACTGTATTCTGTTCAAGCAAACAAATTATAGAATGTTTCTGATTTGATAAAAATTTTAAAATAAACAGCAACGTGTTTTTCGGACTTTTTTTTGAAAGAAAAAGGAAAAGCAGTGAAGGACGTTTTATTTTTTGTTTGTTGGAAAGCATTCGAAAGTCTTATTCAAATTAGGGACAGAAATTTCAAATAGTCCCGGAGGTTACAGTGCAACGTATTCGCTAATTAATTCATCGTAAGCAGTAAGCGTTGATAGTGGTTTCGAACTAGCTGATTTGCAATAAAATTTTCAATGGACAAGGTTGAAATAATTGCATTTATATGGTTGTATCTCAGTAGCATTTGATGGTCCTGGTCGCATAAACAACCTGAAACTAAATTTTGATAAGAAACTTTGAGATATGATGTAATAAATGGCATTTGTTCTTCTGTTTGTTTAACAGAGCTTATCCACTTATTCTCTTCCCACACTACTCGGTGTCTTCAGTTGCTTAAGAAAATTGTGAAGTTTTTATTAAATAAGCGGGAGCAATTTCTCATGCTTAATGAATCATTAATGTCCATAGCTTAGATTGAAAGGGACAACTTAGAAGTATATTGAGAATGCAACATTTGGAGGCTGCTTCAGGGACGATCGGTTGGTTCACAAAGCGGTTTCTTCGAGATTTTCAGAATCTGTTCCGACCTTGTTTTTTTTCTTTTTTTTAAAAAGAAAGAGGATAAATTTGATAAGGAATAAATGAATCAGTAGCAGGTATTTCCATGTTATCTGATGTTATCTCTGTTAAGAAATGTTTCTGTTTCAAAGAATATATAATGTACTTAAGTCATTTTACAGCCATCTCGTTGTTTAACTGAAAAATGTCTTTTGCTCTACTGTTTGTATTTATCCCAATAGTGAATGTTCAGTGTGAGAGAAGATGTCAAACAATAATGGATCCAAGTCAGAATTCAGAATATAATAGTCAAAATTTGCATTCATTTCAACAAGTGAGTTAATTTCTTTTAAGGAAAATAAATTCGGGCCCAAGTTCGCCATCATATCAATTAATTAATGTGCAGGTGTGTTACCTTCTCTCCTCCTCAATTTTTCAAGACTCCTGAACAGTTCTTTCACTGATTGAAAATTATTTTGCTCCACTGAACATTGAAAATTGGAAATTAAATCCATTTTGTTAGAAAAAAAATATTTTTAGCCGCGGGATGTTGGTGACATAATGGCTCCAGGAAATCAACAATCCGCTGGTCACCATGATCGGACAAATACGGGTTGCATCTCATTTCGTAGTCTCTTTTTCTAGATTTAAATGAACCTTCCCACAGATAACTGAAAAGAAAAAAACTGAAAAGACTGAAAAGAAAATGAAGTTTTCTTTCCTTAATTTCGTCACCTTTCTCCTCGCATTCCCGTCTTTGACATTCATTTTCACTCCTTGTTTTTGAAGGAGTTGAAAATGGTATAACCAAAAGATCCATATATTTTAGAATGCAATCCTGGTGATATAGCACCAACTGGTCGTGATTGCACTGCTTATTACGAATGTATCAACGGACATTATAAGTTGCAGTTGTGTCCAAGTAACACCTTCTACAATCCAGAAGTGAGTTTTATTTGAATTATTAAGGAGTTATAACGTTTCAGAATAAGAGAAGTGTTAATATCATTGGAAGAGAAATTTGCACCACAATGTCAACAATCTGACTTTAATTTCTAAGTTTCCGAATCAGAATAAAATTTTAGTTAAAATGTTGTCACGCAAACTATGTTTGTCCCAATCGAGCATATGAACTAAGAACAACTCCGTCACTACCCTGTAAGTATGGCGAATCGCAAGCTGATAAAACCAGCTACGAAAATTACTATTCTTGCGTTGGTGATGATCGTCATCTCGAACGTCGAATTTGTCCTAATGGTAAAGTATTCAATCGTGCGCTCAATCGATGCATATCTGGTGCTGCGGGCAATAGATGTCAACAATCAGGCCAACAAGGCTTTGAATCGAGAAATATTGCTGTGGGACTGGCATGCACTGTAGGTCAAATATGTCATCAGTCTTTCACCAAATATTTCCAGATGCAATATAAGCAAGCATCCGAGAGATCATGCAAACACAAAGAAAGTTTCTTCTGCAACTGCCGAAGTAAAAAAATTTTTTTTAGAACGGACACTTGGGGGTTCTCTTCCTCTTTTCATTGTGCGCTTTCAGCCTCAGGCAACCCAACTTTTTGCTAATGATTCTCCATTTTCAAAGTTAATTTTCAAAATTTTACGCATTTTATCAAATTTCAGGAAAATAGTGACCCATCAGGCTATAATGCTGACCCAACTGACTGTCGACGATATTACCAATGCGCACAAGGTCGATGGATTAGGATGCAATGTCCCAGTAATTTGGTGTGGAATCCGGCGGCAACAGTTTGTGATTGGCCCGAAAACACACTACTTTCCTGTCACTGAACAAAATTTTTGGATGGATTTTTTCGAAGTAAATATAATCTAATCAGTTGGGCTCAATCAGAGTTGTATAAATGATTTCTGCAGTGTATGATTGAAAGGAACTTTGTATTTTGATATACATATGACATGGGTATGGGGTATGCATGTCAGGCGGTCATTGTCTTTCCATAAAGGTATGTGTATTTGGAATATGCTGTAGTCCCAGATGGAACAAAATAAGTTTCATCAACCATTTTCTAAATGCCATTTTCTAAGCCTTAAGAGTCGATCTCATTCCTACCTAAGCCTAATGCAAACGTTATACCTAAAAAAACAGCCAAAGAACGTATTTGAAAAAAATTTCGTGATTCCTAATTCTTAACGGTGGTCATCCGCGATATTTATTGATCCGCATCCAGAAATGTGCACTGGTTCATGTTCCATTAACTTTACAGGGATTTCCGGTTATGACTTTTCATGTATTTTTAGCGTTCCCATATAACGAAAGATTTCTTTTAGTAACAGCAAGCTAAAATTGAAGTGGAAAGGATAAACAAAATATCGCATGATTAACAATATTAACTGACACCTTGGATCTCCCGAAAAAGGAAACAACACATGAAAGATATGGGCCAAGATGGGTGCCTGATCTCATTTTACCCGTTCCGGAGTGGCCAAGCCAAGGAAATCTGAAGCCTGTGTTGAAATCTACTAATGTTAACCGGCACTTTTCTGCATCACATAGATGAAACTGAGATTTAATGAACTTAAATGATTGCATTACAGAGCATGGCGTGGAAAAAATCGAAGTCCTTGAACACAATCTGAAGAAAGGCACTGCTAATGCTCACCTGCTTAATCAGTGGCAATTTTTTGGAATTGTCGAAGCAAACAAAGAGAGGGAGAGAGAGAGGGAGGGGAGGGAAGAGAGGGGTTGGAAGGGTGAGATAGTGAAAGGAAGAGGGTGTTTTCGAAGGGGTAAAGACTTAAATGAAAAGTTAAAATCAGAGAAGAGAGGGGAAAATTCTCAGAGAAAAAGAGAGAGAGGGAGGGCGAGAGAAAAAAGACGAAAATGAATGTAACTTATGGTATGACCTATAGGAACCCTGTCTAGCAGAGCCAGACTGGTAAAGAATATTTGAAAATTTAAAGTTGTTTACGAATTCCAGAGATTGCAAGAAAAAATAAAGTGTATTTAATGACGAGAAAAGTAGGAAGTGAAGGGGAGATTCTCTTCCTCTCCCTGCCTAGCCCTTCCTCTCTCTCTGAGTCGCCCCCTTTCAATTACTTTGCAGAGGATTGGATGTACATTTCAACAACAGGACGCACTCTCCCTGACTTCGTAATATTACGGCTGCTGGTAGTAGTCACGTATACGTACATCTACGTTGTACGTATATATTTTACGTCAAAGGCACCGAGTTTTCCCCTTCCGAAACACCCACCATAAGTCGATTTGCTTTCAGGATGATAGAGATAAGCAATGACAACGTAACCGGTGGAGCAATAGAAGGAAATTTAGCGTTCGGAAGGTTAACACGATGACCCACCATTTTCGTTAAATGGTCATGAGGAAGTGTACATCTGTCGATGACGGAATAGTACTCGTGCATATAGTTGAGGCATGTCTTGTTCAAATTATAGGATATAGACCGAAATTTCCATATATTTTCAGGGAAGTGCCAACTTGTGTCTCAATTTTGAATGGCAAATTAGAGTTGCGAATCTGGTAGCAATGCGGCGACCTGGGAAACATTCAGCGTCACCCTTATCATCCACAGCTGCTGCGTCAACAGCCAAGACAACGAACGCCGTATCTAAAACGGAATATAAAATGACCTGGAAAAACGCGGTAATTATTCAAATTAATAAGAAGTTTACATTCGATTAATTAGTTGCCTTTCATCTTCCGAAGAGATAACATTTCATTTTTCGTTACGCGGTTTGTTGCATTTTAAAAATAGTTGATGCTTTGCTTAAATTAGGGAGGAGAAAACTAACGAAAGATCAGTCTGAGAGAACGAAATTTTTCTTTGAGAATGCGAGAGAAAGAGGAGGAGAAGTGAAGAAGAGGGGAACTCGAGAGATGAGGAATAAGGAAGCGAGGTACTCCGGAAATTGCGGAATAGAATACGTAGCAGCGGTCTTTGATGAAGTATGAGCCAACTGATCCACTCTTTCCTGAAGCGCGAAGAAATTTCTGAGATGCTACCAAATTTGCATAAAACTGTGGCTCGTATCGTGCCTCCTCATCCTTTCCTTTCACGATGTGGATCCTTCAGTGGGCTTCCTTGTTCTGTCCTTATAATTACCTTAATCCAAGTCCTCGTTGCAGTTTACATTTTCATTACATTGGCCGGCTACTGCACTGTTTCGATTCCACCGGGATTTCTTCCTTCTTCTTCTGTTCTAAAGTTCTTGAAATAGTGAAATATCAAAATTAAAAAAATTATGGATTATTGGATTTGTTCCTCGTCGACGATAGGAGTACAGCTCTAGACGGGGGGGAGAAAGGAAGGGTATGTGAGTATTCCGTTTGGTTTCTTACGAATTCTTTTGGAAAAGTTCGTACCGCGAATTTACTTTATAAAGTAATCTTTCCGTTCAGGTTTTGAAAATTGGGAGGCAAAAGGCGGAATCAGTTGCCGGCAATCCAGAAAACCGGAAAACCGGAAAGGATACGGTTGTAGCTATGATTGATGACGATTCTTCCAGAGCGGTATTTTTGGAAAACATTATAAATTAGCCGAAATTGCTTAATCAATCCTGCTACTTTTTTGCTTTGCTTTTTCTTGGTCTGAATGACCTTGAAATCGCATATTTATTTATTAACTTCCATGAAATGGTCTTATTATTTCGGGATCGATCGGTAATTTTGGTTGACAGTATTTTAGTCAAACTCTTCGAAGACACTTCAATTTATTTTTCAGCACCCGAGTAAATCACCATTCTTGAGCAAGAAGAAGTCGATCTCAAAGATGGGGAAGCGAACCAGAACATCCTTTTTTGATTCTCCCCAAACTAAAGTAATCTTTTTAACTTCAGAATTTAAGAGCATTTTTAAAATTTAAGAATATTTAGAAAGTTAATTACCGTTTGCATGGTGAACGAGGACTGCCGTTTCTGTTTTACTTCTCTCCAAAAATATCTTCAATTCTTGGCTAGAATCTATCCCCATCCGTTTACTTGTCCTTCTTTTTTCTTATATTTCTTGCAATCACTCTTCATGAATATCCTTAGAATTACGTTTGTTTATTAGTTTGTGCTTCGATTCAATGAAAGAATTTAATAAATTTGGATTGGAAGTTTCTAGTTAGTTCCAATTTCAGATTGCAAGACGGGTCGTATCTTCTGTTAAAAGTGACACTGAAATATCTTCTAATTCTGAAATAAATGGTGGCGAAAGAAATGTGAGTAGTTTAAGATTTTTTTTTCACTTAATAAGAAAAAAGTAAGTTCGTGTCACTCTGTAAGCTTTTAATAAATCAGCTTTGAAATTACGAGTGCTAGTAGGTTTTGTGGAAATGTTTTCAAAACGAAACTCTCTTATTATTCCACACGGCAGAACGGAAATACAACATGCATATAAAGAGGATTTAAGACGTTCCTTCCCTCCTTTTTCTCCAATCCATTAATATGAAATCAAAGGATATACTAGATTTAATTAAATTTCAGAACAGCACTATGTATGGAGTTGCTAATCAGAATGATTTTGCTCAAAATTCGTCGACTTCTTCAGTCACTTCTCCGATCGCTCTGCAGCCATATTTATGTAAAGAAGAAGAGCAAACGGGAGGAGATGAGTTAGCATCATTTGTCGGTTCATCAGTTTCTCCGCAATTTTGCTCATGTAAGTAAAAGCTTTACATTGAGCCTAAGTTTAAATTTAGTTTATGATATCTTTATCTGCAGTTCGATTTACGAAATGTGAGTAATTTAAGGTTTAACGCAGCTATCAGCAGTTGCTGATGGTTCGAATAAAAAGATGGAGAATCTAAACGAAGAAACAGCAAATTTGTTAGAAGAGACTGAAATGCTGGAATGCAGGTATTTCAGTGCATTTTGTTTTAAATATCACTTTGAAAAAAATAAATAATGTGGCGTACCGATACAAACTTAATGGTCTACCTATAGAGGGGTTTTGCAGCACAACAACAAACAATAGCAGAGAGTTGAGCGAAGAAGAGAAACACATGATTTTGGTTGATTTTGATGCGGGAATGCTGCCGCATGAAATCGAAGAGAAGTATGGAGTAAGCAAATTGCAGGTATTTTAAAAATGAATATTTAAAAAAAAAATCCATTAGCTCGAATCAAATTTGCACTCCCTACTATTAGCTTAATCTACAGAGATAATTAAGCATGTTTCCTTATAGATCGCTGATGTACTGTCAAATCGTATTTCGATATTTCGTACTAATTGGTCTGATCTATTCACCTTAAAACGTCGTCGCACTGTTTATGTACGTTTGAATATGCAAATGTGGAACTACTTTTGTCAGTGCCGGGATCAGAAAATTTGGCTCAATGGTCGACAGCTGAAAGAACAGGCTTTGAAAATAGCCCATGAATTAGGTAGTTTTAGATATTTTGAAGTAGCTGCAATGTTATATTTTGAGTTGTTTTTGTCAACTACTGAGAAGGATTGAAAAAGGAACCAAATAGAATTATTATTACAATATATTATTTATTACTACTATTATTGTTA